TAACCAGAACACTAAAGCTTTCTCCATATTAGCAATATGACTATTTCACTTTCTTATCATTTTTATGCTCACTGGAGTACTACTTTTAACTTCCTTCAAGAACTTTTCCTTTACATTCGCAACTTGGCTAACTATTTGGTGTAAGAGGCCTATACTGTCTGGACTTTCAGGATGCCTTCGTCACTAAGCTTAATTATTTCTAGCATTTGATAGAAAGTGGTTCTTCCTTTCACTGGAATACACAGAAGCCATTATAGGGTTATTAATTGGCCTGATTTCATTAATGTTATGTCTTATGGATTGGGATGGTCCACAGAAAGGGAGAGAAATGGGAATGGCTAATTGATGGAGCAGTAAGGATACATACAACATTTATTAGCTGAAGTTCACTATCTTGTATTATCCTGGAATGAAAGCTATTATAGAGCTTAAAGATCAAAATTGTAAATGTATAATAAAATAAATAAATAATTTCAAATACTAATAAATCATTAGAAATAAAAGCCTTTAAAAGAGATTTCCTAAGGATAAAAATATTGGGGGAAGGGATTGGAGAATCTGTAATTGGCTACCAAAATTCTAATTTTTTACTTCTCATTGCTTTATTACTCTTTGCTACTTTCTTGATCTCCTTTTTATCCTTTTACAGGTTTAGTTTTATAATCATATGTCCTTTCATCCAAAAACACATCAGTAATTATTTTTCCTTGACACACTTATATAAGGATCACTTCTCTTATTTTCATTTCTTTCTTCCCTCTTTGATACTATGTCATAATAAATCATAGATGAAACATAATTTTTTATGATGAGGTACCAGTTTTATTGAAAGAGTTGAATAATATAATACGAATATTATGGTAAAGTGAAATATTAACTAGATCCCAAATAATATTTTTTTATTCATAAGAATTTGTTTAAACATTTAACTCTTAAGCAAAACTTTTTTAAAAAATATCTTCCTTCAAATCATGGCTACCAGAAACAATCTGTAGCTGTAATAATATATACTGACTGGTAATGACCAGAAGATAAACAATTTTTAAGGAAAAAGTTGTTTTTCATGTCGTTGATACCCATACTTTTTTTTTTTTCAAGTGGAAGTATGGTATAAAGTAGCTTAAAATATTTATCTTTCAGGGTAGTTCTGAAAGTAATAGTTCTAAAAATAAATGGTCCTTACGGCAACCTAATAGAAATCTTTGTTTAATCTCTATAATCTTAACCTAAAATATTATAAAATAAATCACAAGGAGAAGGGTAGAGTGTCTATATTAGCCATTCCATAGGTGAGAGCCTAAATTTAATGAAAAGATTTGAGAGTCAGAGTTTAATACCAGCAGTGTTCTTTTGTTATTATTGAGCCGCTGAGCATCTCCAGACCTCAGTTCCATCATTAGTAAAACAAACACACACAAAAAATATATAACCTTTTCTAAATAGTTACAAAATATTTGGTGAAAATTAAACAGAAGTGTGAATACATACTACACCCAGTGATATGGGAGCCTACCTCAATGTAGTTGCCACAAGCCTAAAATTTCTTTGAAGTTTCATGTTTTTATTTTTAAAATTAAATTAATATCTAGTTGGCTCCTTACTATAAAATATTTATTCATTATAATAAAAATATAGCATTTACAATTGTTTTGGCAAGAGATGTACAGGTGAGGCTAGATAGTTTTCTACCTTGTTAACAGTAGAAATGGTTTTATACAGTTTTAGAAAATTGAGCTAAATCAAAGGTAATCAACACCACATATTAGTCTAGGATCCAGGAAATTTTTTGGTTGCATGATATTTCTGAAATCCAAATTCTTAGTAAAAAGGTGAATACAAATGACAGAGTCATTTCACTGCTTTACAGGCTACATCCTGGTAATTAATCCCTGAGGATAGTTTCTCCAGTAATTAATCCCTGAAGAAGGATTCTCAGTGCAGTATTTTCAGACTATTTCTAATGGAGATTTTGTTAAATATATTCTAGCTTAGAGACTAAATAGAAGATTAAAATGTTTTTTATCCTGTGGTTAATATCTTTTACAACTCAGTGAAATACTTTGAAATATTTCTGTAGGGTAAGGAATGACTAGTGATGACCTTTTTTATTGTTTTGCTACTAAATTTTAATTCTCAATATATGTAAGTCAACTAGTAACCTCAACTGATTTATAATTCTTTCACTTCTCTCGGTTCTCAAACTTTATTTATATTGCCATGATCCTGTGTATAATATGAACATTTACTGTTTAACCTCTATTAGCTACTGATAATGTTTTGCCTCATACAAAAGTATGTATAAAAGTAGCTAATAATGTGAGACTTTTATAATTATCATGAAGAGTAAATTAATTCATCTTATCCAAATGCTAATATTTGCGATTTCTTTTAAATTTTTATCAAAAATAGTAATAATCAGGTATTTGGATTAACTGTGAATTTCTTATATCTACACTATTCTATCATAATTGATGATTAAAGGATGAGTGAAATAAATGAGAACATTACATTTTAAAATATATTCTACTTTTCCCTATTTCTCAAATTTTGTTTTATGTAGACATCGTTTTCAAATTCTTTCTGATATGTTTCAGTATTTGGTGTTATTGTCCTCTGTTTCAAGAGCCGTTAAAAGATAATGTGAGACTTCAATTGCAGCCATTTCTGGCTTTGAATACCACATTGGTCTTCCTCTTACAATAGTTTTGAAGGCAAATTTATGTATAGAAAATATTAAGCATTGATAGGCAGTTTGCTTTCAAAGTCTCTATTTTGAAATAATCAGTCTTATACTCTATTTTTTTACATACAGAGTTATTGGTTCTCTTTTTTCCTTATAATTCATTCAAGTTTCTATACTTGCACTTGCATTTGGACCTGAAATGGTATAGGTAAAATTTCTTATATATATATATATAATAACATAAAATTAATTCCACAGATGGAGAAAGAGATAATCAAACATATTTATATATACATGTATATCCTCTTATAAGCATCAGTTTTTTTTCTAGCCTATGTATTTTCAGGCCTACTACAGGAATACAACTTTGAGCTAGAAATTAGGAATTGTGGGTTTTATTCCGAGATTTGTCATTAACTTTCTGTGTAACCTTAAAAAAGACACCTCATGTCGCTAGACTTAATGTAATTTTAAGCCTTCTAGAAATAAAAGACAACGTAGAAAATGGTGTTCACTTGTTAGTATATAACAGTTCTGAACATCTTTATGGTTTCTGAAAATTTTCAGAAAGCAGCATGGTAGTATGTATATATATTGGAGAGAAGATCTTGCTTTGTCACCCAGGCCGAAATGCAGTGGCACCATCATAGCTCACTGCAGCCTCAACCTCCTGGGCAATCTTCCTGCCTCAGCCTCCCCAGTAACTGGGACTACAAGTACATGCCACCATATCCATTTAATTTTTTAATTTTTTGTAGAGATGGAGGTCTGGCTATGTTTACCAGGCTAATCTCGTCCTCCTGGGCTCAAGCCATCCTCCTTCCTTGGCCTCTCAAATTACTGAGATTACAGGTATGAACTACTACTACCCAGCCCCCATATTTTTTATAAGATTTTTTATACCAGCTCTATTTTTGTAGTCCATATATCGTGTTTAAGTGGGAAACAACTTTTGATGTTCTCTAAGATCAAAGAAAATAACACAAGAAAATGAATAGATATTATGAACTCACTCTCCATGAGAAGGTTGTGCCTTATAAAGTGTTGATGTTCTAATTAGTATCTATTGTTTCTAACTTAAAGACAATTCTATTCTACTAAGAACAAGCATTACCTTTTGGCCATAACATTTAGTTAATAAAGAATTAGTGAAACCTGTTTATATCTAGTAAAGCCAAAAGTTGATACTGTTCTTATATACCAAGATCGTTTTTTCAAACAAAAATTTAATTTTCTCAGTATTACTCCTCAACGATCTTCATGTGCTATTAAAGATGTTCTAAAAGGGGTAAGACAATCTATATCCTGATTCCATGAAATAACATTTTGTAGAATGATCAAGTTTCTTATTTTATCCTGAGGACTTTAACACTGGGAACTTGGGATCACACTGATACTTCTGTTATTTCCTAATACAAGAAGCATCACAGCTAACTTGACTTTGCAGGTCTGAATTGAGACCACCATTCTGCAAGTGCAAGAATTCATAGTGTAAAACCACTTGGTCTGCTGGTACCCCCACCCCCTTTCTGGATTGCCTTCTATTAGTTCTTATTAGAGCTAAAATGTTCTCATCTAATACAACACTTGGTGTTGAGAATCTTCCTTTGCTCATTTATATAGTGATGTGAAACAGGTTTAAAATAGCAAGTTTTACTTTTCATTTTTTCTGTCTTATCCAAGAGGAAAATTCAAATGAAATAACAAAGCTTTGAGGCAGTGCATATATCTAACACTGGTCTGGCATTAAAATTTTCTGATTGGGCAGCACAATTGTTTAATTGAGACTCTCAGTAACAGCTGAACAACTTCAATGCTTGGGTCAGCAAGCAGAGGAGCTTCACTCTGTCACTTGTCAAGAATGATGCTTATCAGGACTGATCTTTCCACCTAGAGAACATTCATGTTTCTAGTCATACCATTGATGTTTTCTCATATTACTACGGAACAGACACTAAAACACTGAAAGGGGGAAAAAAGTACATAGGTATATTTGTAATTCTTTGTTTTTTGTAAGCCAAATGCAAATGTAACACTACTCCAGATTCTGCTTCATCAGAAGTCCCCAAGATAACCAAAAGTAAGTGCCAATTTCCTCATCTCAGGAACAGTGCCATAACAAAGACTGGATTCTAGTAACCAGCCTATTTGCAGAGCATGTTGTACAGCCTTGGGTTAGTTAACTCCTTGGCCTCCTTAGAGATTCCTCAAAGAATCAGTTGATGATTTTGCATGTATTACTTACTAATGTGTAGAAAATTTTTTAAGTTCACTTTTTCTTTATTCTGTCTTTTTTACCCATCTTCCCTCATTGTAGCAAATTAGACGGCCGGATGAAAGCAAAGGAGTTGCTAGTAGAGTTGGATCCCTCAAAGTAAATATGTTTCTAACCTTTTTGGCAAGATTTCGTCTATAGCCTACACTTCTTCCTTTTTGGAGGGTGGTGGGAGGAAGGGGGCTTTTTCCATTTTTCACCATCCCATTTTTTTATTTTAATATTTTTATTGGCTGTTGGGTCATTTTTTTTGTTTGTTTCAGCTACACATAGAGCAACCAGCTGAAGGCAAGCTGCCAAATAACTAGCTTTGAATGGCACCACAAATGAGAAAGGGCAACTACCTCATTACAGGTGCCTGTAATTTGGGGTTCTAGAGTAAACCGTTCCTCTGATTGATGTCATTGACTGTGTGTTACAATTCTGTTACACAGATAACTAATATTTATTTTCAGAATATTATCTCACCTTTTAACTTTTTCAGAAAAAAAATTTTTTTAATGTTATTTTAGTGTCATTGCTATTTTTAGTTCATTCTAGAAAAAAATATTGGTTAATAACATATATTTAATATATGTTACCTTAAGATTTAGAAAGAAAGGCATTTTATTTCATGGTAGTATAATGGAGCCACATATAGCTAATAGTGTTTAGGCACTCTTAATCCCCTTTGTTTTATTTCTAAAAAGTTTAAAAAGTTGATATAGCAATCAACAGAACCAGATATATATCTAAATTTTTTGCCCATTTGTTTATATACTCTGCTAATATACTATTTAAAACTTTCTGGTTTGATGATCTTGTTTGCTAGTTGCTAAATATCCATTTATTAAATATATCTTGGGCACTCAGTACTCTAACATTTAATCACAATGAAAAGTTAAACAAGTTATCAACTTTAAGAAACACAAACATAGTCATTGATTACTTTTAATGCTGCCACCATAAATGCAAGTTAGAAAATTTGCTCAATTTTCAAAATATACAGAAGAATGCCCCCACAAAACTAACCACTTTCTTATATCTCACTCCCAGTTGTTATTACATTAGTAACTGTTAAATTAATCAAAATGCCAGATAATTTTAGTGCACTGGGATGTCCCAAAATTCAAACTGCCTTGAGGCCTAATATTTACTCATTTTAGAAATTTACATACTTCCAATTTATTTCCATTTAACAATTTATGAAACACTGATTTCTGCATTCTTTTCTCTCCTTACCTCTTCTGCCTTCTTAGTTTTACTTTTTTGTTGTTGTTTATTTATTTATCTGTGTGTGTGTGCACACACATGAGTGCACATGGGTGAATGTGTGTTTGTATGTTTATGTCCTTTATTCCAGAAAAGTCATCTTCTCTGTTCTCTAACACTGCTTTATAGTGGGTAGCTATTTTATTAAAATGTTATTTCTCTAAGGATAATCAGAGGAGCTGGGAAGTGTTGATTGTATGCCTATTTTAAAAACTAGACAACTTAAGATTATTCCGTCAGAAATACATGAATTGTGTAACCTGATGCTATATCAGTAGCATTCCTCACTGTCTCCTTGTGAGGTATCATATTTTACCTTTGTCTTTAGGGGGAGATAAATCCGTTATTGTTTAAACCTTGGATTATGACTCAGATTGAAGTGAGAAGGTGTAGTGAACATGACTTTCTGAAAATTACTGATAGTGAAATAAAGATCAAATAGCATCCATAACCGTAGCACCATCTGGTGTAAACTAGATTGTTTGTGCGAGAGAGAGAGAGAGAGAGGGAGAGAGAGAGAGAGAGAGAGAGTGTGTGTGTGTGTGTGTGTGTGTGTGTGTGTGTAATTACCTCTAAGTTTAACTTTTGGATGTGTAGTACTTCAAGATATAAATGTATGTTTACTGTTTTTAAGTGTATATACAGTATGATTATGTATATACACATATATATGTTTAAGAACAAAAAGATAACATTTTACTGTTTAATCAGTTTGTGTTCATATGGATGCAGCCTTAAATCAAAATTGTGTTTGGGAAAGAAAGGCAAATTTCGTAATCTTTAAATATCTTTACCCCGTATTTCTACCAAACAGAAAATGTTAAAGTGAATCTCTAGGGGATTATAAGGATGGGTATAATATTTATTTTATCACTGTTTTGGGGAGAAAAAAAATGCTATAATTAATCAAAATAAAATATCAGCTTCCTAGTCACAGGTTTGTTGAGCATGCATTCTTAACGTTATACAAAGATATTTGATGTTTTGAAATGTTTGCCAAAGGCAGTAAGAAATGTATAATGCTATGATCTTATTTTTAAAAGGAAAAAGAAAAACTGAAAAGAGAACAAGTTGCTTTTTCAATTCATTTTCTGATGTTTACATGTAGCTCCATCGAAAGCTGGAGGAGCTCAGAGATCACCTAGAAGGCAATGTGAAAGGATACTCTCTCAGAGTAAATGTACGATTTCACTTGGTGTTTTTTTTTCCCCTAAACTTCTGCTGACTGGTAATTCCAAATCTAATTGGTTTATCCTCTCATCTTCATCTTTTTACTTTCTGTCTCTTTTCTTTCTCTTTCTTTCTTTTCTAGCTGCGGCTTCATGCTCACATTTATGAAATAAAGATTAAACTGTCAAGGTAGAGGACCTTAAACCACGCTAACATTGTGGTTGATTTAATAATATTTTTGTCCCAGTGCAAAATAAAATCTCATTCAAAAATCAGTATTCCCTATACATTTGTATAATTTCCTGAGGATCTTTTAATGGGACTTCATTTGGTGTTTTTCCATTGGCTGCCCCTTGTTGGATGTGTCAGCAGGATTGTAAATTATGAACTGGTTTCAAGGGGTAGAGCCCTGATGATTCAATTTTAATTTTTTAAGGAAGATGATCAATGTTAGAGTATCATCATAGGTAATCTGGCAAGTAGATACATTTGTTTTGAGTTAATAGACCTTTCTTAACTCAGACTTGTTTATAATAAGTATAAAATGCCATTTTTTATTTAAAAATAAGAAAATTAGCAGTAAACATCTTCACCAGGAATGCCATGTAACATCTTACAAATATTTAAGCTAAAAGCTAATATACTCAGGATAACCATTGAAGGAAAACAACACCTTACAACCATTTAATACTGTACATTTATCATATAGGCAATACTAATAGTATTTATTGTGATAGATAGTTCAGACTTTTAGAATGGTAGGTCCTTCTCCTGAATATATCTTTTCAAATAAAACTTCTAAAATGGAATAAAGTATAAATGTGGTAGAAGAGAAGCAAAATTACTGCACTAAATAATGTATGACTTATCCCTGGTCTCCCATTCCTAGAGCTTCTAAAAAAGTTCCTATGAGTCCTAGCTCCTGATTTACTTCTCCAAGATTATTGCCATTTACTTAATTCATATAACTATAATAGCTTTGTTAATAAAAAGTAGTTAGGGATGTGGTAATTCTCTGGTTTCTCAGCTTGTTTTTAGTTACATACCGTGTATAACTATATATGTGTATCTCTGTATTAAATTTCTGATTATTTAAGTCTAGAGTGGTTTTATTAATACTGGTTATTAAGACTAAACAGAGAAGTTACTTAATATGTGTCTCGTTTCTCTACTTCTTTCATTGAGCCAGTCCCTCTTCCATGCATATTCTTATAGAATTTGGAAAATTATCTGTATTAACCCTCCAGATTCTATCTATTCCACTGTCTTAAAAAAAAAAAGGTTAGTATGGATTCAATGATTAAATAGTCTGAACATATCTGAATATTAATCTAGAAATCCATGAATATATTCTAATATATGTATTTTAGTGTTGTACTCTTTCCTAACATGAGAAGTGATTTTTTTTCAATCACACTGAAACTAGAAAGTCTAGACCTGCCAAGATCTGTATGATAATGTGTTATTGAGAGATTAAGATCAAATTAGAAGTTTGATGCTTTAAAAAAATAGGTTATCTCATGCCACTCTTTAACTTCTTTTTTTCAACTCCTGTTCTGATATATGATGACTAATCTCAATGTCTTCTTTTGTTTTGTTTTACTGACAAGCACTTTTCGATTACCTTGTTTCTAAAAAGATTAAATATGATGTGTATCATTCTAAGGATTTCATTAACTATCAGATATTGAAAAATAAAAAAAACTATCAAAAGTGAAGTTCTGCTAAGAAAACATGCAAATCAAATGCTTAGCTGAATTTTCAGTTTCTCTTTACCCTTTAATTCTTATTACCCAAGTATATCTTAAAATACATCTTTTTTCCTTAAGATGTGGAGTACAAGTCAGGATTAGGTACATAAGTGGTTTATGTGCAGGTGAAGTTTGAACCTCCCACTGGTCCTCGCTTCCCCCGGTTTAGGATCAGGTACCCTTAGTGATGTTATGTGCTGCTCCCTCCCCCCGCCCTTCCTCCCTCCCCTAAAATATGTCTTGTATATTAAAAATTGTTACTTAAAAGCAAAGTATTTTCTCAGAACCATAGACTATATTAAACAGATTTTGTTTCTAAAATTAGGTAAATTGGCATACAGTGATAGTTTTGTTTTGTGAAAATGTATTGGGGGTTTTGCATTTTTATTTTCATTGAGTGAATGCTATAACTCAGAGGTCAGCAAACTGCAGCCAGTGGGCCAAATACTGTACTTTCATAGCCCCACAAGCTAAGAATGATTTTTGCACTCTTAAATAATGGAAGGATATCAAAAGAAGAACATTTCATGGCATGTGAAAATTATATGAAATTCAAATTTCAGTGTTCAAACATAAAATTTCATTGAGTCACAGCCACTCTCATTTATTTGTGTATAATCTATGGTGGCTTTTATTGTATGGCTAAAATATTTACTCTCTGACCTTTAAACAGAAAAAGTTTGCCAAGCTCTGCTCTAACTGGTTAGTATGGCTATAGTAGAGTCTGTATCTTATCTTCATTTTAGAATTTGAGACGAGAAGAAATGCTTATTTTTCTGAGGATGGCTTTAGATTATTCTGTGTGGAAGCATGTGTTTAGAAGAGTTGGTCCCCTGAAATCTTCTACCTTTATATTTTTATTCTCTCCTTTTACATTGTTTTATCTACCCCCTCTATCTTTTTATATACCACCCCACTCCACCCCCA